ATAAGATCTGTTAGAAAAATAAACATCTCACAACAATCTACAGTGTCAGCTCTTTAATAAATACATAAAACAGAAGTTAGTAGTCAGAGTTACATGAACAGGTTCATAGCATATGACGTGAAATTAAAACCTCAATCTTTTGTATCATTTAAGGCAATTTAACTTTACATATAATCCAAAGCCAGAAATAATATGAAACATGTTCAGTAAGAATTTGTTTCTTTCTTAGAGCTATTTAATACACAAAAATTTTAATTTAAAAATACATCTATATTAAATTTCTTTTTTACAAAGGCAGTACATGTTAAGTGAAACAAAATAAGGTTATGTTACTGATAATTTAAAAAACATTTCTAATTTTCTTGCAGAGGTTTAAAAAACCTTAATAAAGTAGCTGATAAATGTAAAATAGTTTAAATGTATGTTAAATATACACAAAATGAATTTCTATATTAATATGTGCAAATTTGTATTTTCTTATAATTTAGAATTAAAACATTTTATACTAAATATTTTTAATAAAATCTATGTACCATACTTGTCATTGTGTGGAATTCATCAGAATCACATTTGTCTGTGGCATAGTGTAAAGTTAGCCAAAGATCTTTACACGTGTCACACATTTTCCATCCTTGATTGCAGTGGTTATTTTATTGTGTTAGACAATTTTAACTGAAGTTGATTTTAAGCAGAAAAATATTTCAGGTAGATACAAGAGTAGTGTCATTACTCTCAGGTATTTCAAAAAAAAGCTGCCCAGAGAGCTGAACAATTGTTTCACATAATCAAAATAATTTAAATATACAGTTTTAAAACAGTCATTACATGGGCTTGAAGGTAAATGCATCAGAACCAAGGAAAACATCAAAAGAACAAAAAGTATAAAGAAAAGTTTAAAAAAAGTAGGAGGACCCAAGAGCAAAGTTGTTTTCCACAAGACTGGTTGTTTCATATTTTCTTCCATTTATAAAAGACAAACAAGATGCTACAAAATCTAATTACGATGGTTTCATGGAATATTTTTCCAGTTAGTTTTGTTTACAAGTGAGATGATCATATACAAAGGATCCCTTTAGAAAGGAATAAAAAAAAAAGTTAAGTAAAATAAACTTACCCATTCTAGTCAGTTAGTGAGGATTGCTGAATTAATCATTACTTAGCATAGAACATAAACGGGAGCCTGAAGGAGCTTTTGCAACCTAAAGATCTGCAGAAGCTGACTTGATAATCAGACAGTTAGGCTCCCTATTGAGTTGTGATTCAGTTGAATTGAAAATTGGCTTCAGATGTTATCAGACATTAATTCATAAACATTTAAAAGAAAAGGATTATCCCATACCTATGAATGTTTATTTAAAGGTGAATTAGTGTAATATTTATTCAAGCACACTTTTCAACACTGCACCTAAGATGCCAACAATTTCAGAAGACATGACAATTTTGGAGAGGTTAATTGAAAAACTGTCTTAGAATCAATGAGACACACATATAGATGTGTATGATCAGTTAGACATAATAAATTGCTATTGAGGAATTTTAAAAGAAGATGCAAATGATCCAAAAGAACGTTCTGCATTCATTTGAAAAGGTTTGCGTTGGATGGAATGGAGTTCTTAAGGTCAACATAGATAAGAATAGCCATAAATTGGATATTAAGAGTAAACAAAAGAGAGTGCAATATGCACATGAATGGGTCTGTCTTTGTTCAGGAGCATAAATTCAAATGAGTGTTAAAATCAAGAGGTGTTCGGAAATGAAGAATTTAATTATGCCATTAAATTCCATTATTTTTCACAATTAGACTATTTGAGCCTGAAGCTTTAAGGAAATCTTGGGAAAAGCGAATGGAAAAAAAATAGGATTTAGGATAACAGGAACAATTTATAATTTGATGGAGAGAAGCAATCTAATTTTATAGCTCATCCTGAAATATTTCAGTATCTCATGGATGCATTTTGTTACACATCATACTATCTTCTGGGGAGGTTAAGTGAATGCTAAAAAAAAAGAAAAAATAAGGAATTTATTTTTTAGTGAAGTGTTGAATGTGATGCACCCACTAATGTTAGTACTTTGAGTTTAAAAAAAAAATGCCTCCAGAGATATCTAGTATTGTTCTTGGTGTGGTGGTGGTTGTTATTTTTATAAATCAAAGCTAAAATGAACATTTAGAACATAATCTGATTTCTAGTGAATTTTTATGTCTTCCAGARAATGTCCATGGCTTAATAAATACTAGCAAATTTCAAAGAATATGTTGAACACTTATGAGCWCATGTGCACTGCAGTGTAAAGATGCCCTAGAGRAATAAGTTGCATCCAGTTGTGTCATAGTGTGCATGGGGCACATTTTCATAATCATTACATACTTGAGGGCACAAAATTGTTGCCGTACCAAGACATGTTGTTCAAGTTCTAAGTTTTGTTAATAATTTAAAATTGTGTTTAATATCAATGAATACAAAAGGCTCCTGTGGTCATAGTAGTTGAAAATAGKCTCTATTTACATAAATTATTTAATCTAAGAATACCCTGTTTCCCCTTATCTTTTAATTAATTCTAACTAGTCAAATATTAATTCACTTCTCAGAAACCATTACACAGAAAAACATCAATTATTCAAGTAAAGTATAAGCCCTAAAACCTTTAAGAATTAGCTCTTTAGGTAGGAAAAAAGAAAAAAAAAAGGAAAACAGGAAAAAAAGCATATGACATTCAGAGACAGCTACAGTCATCACTTAGCTTTAAATTGCCTACAAGGAAGTTTGTCTCTTCCTATGTTAACAGCTTGGTCCATTTTAAAGTTAGTGCAAACTAGTGAGATTAAAAAAAAAAAATCCTTGTTTTGAAGGACTTCATTTTCTTAAGCTCTTTTGCTCATTTCCATATGGAAATTAGTTTGTAGCTCATAAACACTGAACTATTAATTTTTAAATTGCCAGCCTTTTAATTAAAGGATGTCTCCCACTTTTTTTCATTTTGGGAGGTTGTCAGACATACATTTATTTGTATATTTATGAAAAGATATTATATTTGATAGGCTTAAAATTACAAATTTTACATTATCTTTAGTTACCAAAGTTTTCTTACATGAGTCCCAGTATTGAATTATGTCAATGTTCCCAAGTTTCTCACTTGGAATGCATTCATTTTAGTATTATAATTGCTTGGCTGCAGAGAACAGCTCATGGAGCTGCTGTCTGCTGGCTCCAGAAAAACTAAACATGTTTTTCCGTTCTCTTTAGGGTTGAATATAGGATGGRGGTGATTCTTCATCTAGAACTTTCACTGAAGTTCTGGAAGACAGAAAATCTGGGAATTACAAGAAGATGTTTTAAATATATTGTGGTTGTCATAGGTAAAATTCTGGACTGCTCAGATGATAGTGGGACAGCTAGTCCATGATTCAKACTGAGTAAGTCTGTAGGGATATGGTAATTGTGAAGAAGTTTCCATTGGGAAAGGGAGAGGTGTATTCAGGTCTTGAGTTGAGTAGGGTACAACCCCAGAGAGTGCTGTTCGTACAGATTTATAATGTGAAGGATTTCCCCATATTTCCACCACATTGCTGTCTCTTCTCAGAAGCTGATTAGCAGGAAAGACTAGAACCCATTATGGACAACTCAATTGGAATTACTCTTCTCTACTTCTGAAAATTTCTCAGGAGCATATATTTAAGACTTCAGTAAATCACATTTAAAAATATTTGCCAATTGAATATTTTAAAGTTCGAGAGGTAGCATAACATCATGCAATGAACTCTGGCCTGCAATTAGAAGTCAGAACTCCTTCTCTAATGCTGCCACTTTTATCTCCTGGGTGGTTTTTAAGTAACCACTTAAACTTTGTAAGCCTCAATTCCCTAACTAAAATGGAGAATTATCTTATTTTTAAGATATTACCTTCCCTCTTCCAATTTTATATTCTTATGAATCCTAGTGAATAGGTTTGGGGCAATTTAGGGAAAGAATGTCCTTAGGCTGCACTGAAGGGCAAAAATAATATAGCTTTTCATCTGAAAAATGTTGATATYAACTTGGACTCAAAATCTAAGAAAACTCATTCAAAAGTGTAGTACATTGCTGAGGCAGAGTTTCTAAATACCTTGTGAATTCCAACCTACAGATCAGGCAAATGAAATAGTGAAACAATCCATCCAGTTTACCAGGTAAGAAGATACCACATCTTCAAACAATGAAGCTATTCAGGTTTACATGCTACTTTACAGTGTCCCTTATTAACATTCAGCTTTTAAAACCAGTATTCTAATAAAGTGACATTGTATTACAGGTTTTTTATGGCAGTAGTAACTTAGCACTTATTTAATCCAGTCATCTGCAATATATATAAACTTATCCTGGAAGGAGGAAAAACAAAATATAAATGCAAAGAAGAAAGAACATTGGCATTAGTATCCATTTTGTGAAAAGAAGGAAACATAAACACACATGCATCAAACTACAACAGTCTCAAAATAGTATCCCTTATGATTAAGGTTCTATGCTGTTCACCTCCTGAATGAATGAAACACCAATTGCTGAAGCATTTGGCCACTTCGGTCTGTAACTACCAGGTTATGTTTTTCATCCATATGTTCTGGCAGGAATGACTTGCACCCTTGWAGGGACACGAGGCTCGCCTGTCTCACAGCATCGTGTCTCTCTGGGACGTGTAGGAATGGCAGGTACCTGTAAAGTGTAATCAGTGCTCTTCAGAGGATCTACATTCTATGCTGATCTAAATAAGTTATATATTACAGTAAAGTGCTACAACGACACTAGTCTCAAACAGTAGTAAGACACATTTTTCTCTGAAAAGTTCAGCAGCTGTGTGAGTCACATGACAATGAGGATGCTTGTCAGTCTTCATTTTGAGTATACAACCAGGAACTGGCATGACCTTGAGCAATTTTTCTCCTCCTGTGACTTTTAAAATTTTACTTTTTTAGGAGCAATTATTTAAAAAATCCAGTTTTCCATAAAGTTTTCTTGTATCTTTGTTTAGAAGTTACACCTGAAATTCTCATGAGCATTTAGTTTGCTGATATCCAAYTTTATTTCCTCAGGTTTCTCACGGCGGTAGGTTACTGTTCTTGTGCAAACACTTTGCAGAAGCAACTTATCCTTGATGGAGAAGAAATATTATCAATTGAAGACCTAAGTATTGCAACTAGACAATAAAATACTGATAATTACATTTTAAAAATTCACTGACCTTTTTTGAGGCAGACACTCTGTAATCTGATGAGGACTTAATTTTATTACTATTCCATTGTAGTATCGCCTGCCTAATGATAAGGACTTTAAGCAGCCCAATCAAGAATGTAACTATGAATATGATGAAAAATATTCTTAAGTAGCTTGGGCTAGATAAACATTCTGTAATAAAGTAAACAAGTTAACATTAAACAAAGCCAGTCAATCAAAGAATTCTAGCAAGTAAACAGTGTTCACATCTTATAATTAATAGAACCAGAGACTTGTACAAATTTGCATTTTCAAAACAAGGGACTGACATTACTGTTGACTCAGAAAAGTAAAGTAATTTTTATTGCACATTTATTATTAAAATATTTTCAAAAGAAAACTTCCCTTTGGGAACAGACACAATGAAAATATTTAATAACATCATTTCTTTCCAGCCTGATTCTATAATTGTCTTAGCTGGAATATGTCCAAGTCCCTTACCCAGATATAATTATATCCATGACAGAGAGAGGGGCAGCTTTTGTGATGTATACTTTTGAACACCAAGTGGAAAATCAGATTTTAAGAACTGCTCAACAGCTCTGGGCATCAGCATGTGTTCCTCTTGTTATGCTTTCTCTTCATTTGTTGCACACCAGTAATGGAAAATAAAGTAAACATTTGCAGAAGCTGAAATCAGTACTACTCTAATAGATGAATAAATATTGCCTCTGAAATTGCAGTGTAAGGTTTCATTATTATTATGCATGGTTTCAGCAGGAAATAGGAGTGTCCAATTTGGGATAATACACAAATCTTTTGCTTTAATTTTACTTCATTTACTTTTTACTTCTCTGTTAACTAAATCTGTTTGCCTTTAAAAATTCATTATGTGCTTTTCCAAAGACAAATCATTAATTATTCTCTGGGGAAAGAAATGCCCTGTTAAGATGAGGGCCATGCTGGATCTCTCTTTTAGCACCAGGCCTTTGGCAAACTCTCATTGGAAAACCTGCAGCCTCTGTTGTTGCCAGAGGCATCCCCCTTATCGTAGAGGAACATGGTTGCATAACAGCAAGTATTCCACAGAACTCAACAGCTGCCCCAGATTCATAAAATTACTTCCGGGCTGGAAAAGACATTGTGTTCCTCTGCCCATTTTACAGACTTTGGGGACTTTATGTTAATTTTAGAGTCTCCCTGGAGAAGGCCACTAAGAAGAAGACCTGCCAATGCATTATGYAATCGTGGGTGATTTGGACTCAATTTTTAGCAGTGACCAAGTATGCTCKCAAATAAGGCCAGAACTCTATGACAAGGGCCTCTCTGAATGAGAAAACTTAATGAAGTCCCAATTCTTTTGGTCAGTAATAAGGGGTCTTGAACAAAAGGTCAGAGGCAGACCCCAGGGCTACTTATCAAGTGGAAACACCAGATTCCAAAGCAAGTCTTCCATTGTCACAGACCTCAGGGAGACAGAATCCAAAATGCTGTGTTGGAAGGTGGCACTTTTGAGTCTTCCACAGGAGAATGATCCCCAAATCTTTCTCCTCCAACAGATTGCCATTTCCCTTAGATGATCTGACTACTCAAACCAGCTAAGGCAGGTCCTCAGAGGGAACACGTGGCTTGATTCCACTTACTGGCTTCTTGCCTGGTGGGCACTTAGCCAGAGAGACTGAAAGAAGACCCTTGAAGTGTGATTGAGAGGAGAGATAACAGAGGTGCCTAACCAATGCCCTTTCCCTGTCCTTGCACAATAGAGGTTAAGGGGAGGGGAAACCCTCTAGCTCCTCATCAAGTTCAGAAGTATTCCTAATAAGTTAGCAGTTGTAGGGCAATTGCAGGGCTCAACTCTGCCTGTATTTTGAAAGGTTGCTACGGATGGTCAAACATCTACCCCCAGCCTATGCTTTTCTTAGTTGAGATTGGGTCAGAGCTTTTCCTAGGAGCTTTAAGGGGATACTATTTGTAACCACCCTTCAGTCACAGTAGTGTTTACTTAACATAATAAATGACATGTTGATAGGAAAGGCCCTATTTATTAGAAAGGCACTTAGCTTTTGGGAGTGATTGCTGTAGCCCCAGCTGGCAGCACATGGGACTCTGTTTGGAGCCAAATTCATCATGAGCTAAGATCAGTGCAGATGTGAAACCAAAAGGAAACAAAGCCCTGGAGAATGTTTATTCTTCTCAGCAGTCTCTAAGGGCTGGGATTTTTTCTTACAGGTTGGAGGAGAAACTTGAAATAATAGAAGCAATGGAAATGTTTCCTATAAAGATCTAATATTTCGCTCTTATGGAGTTAGGAATTCATTTCTAATTCCTTTGAATACCTGTGCAAAAATGGGATTCCAGCTTTTTGAGTTCTAATGAACTTTCATTTAAAAACAGACTTTGCTCATAACTCTCACATGGTTTTCCATTTATGAATCATCTTTTGCTTTAGATACTTGTTTCACGTTCACTGGCTCATTAAGGTCACAACAACCCTTTGAGGTGGATACTATTTATATCTCTATTTAACAGATGCGGAAACTGAGGCTCAGGAAACTTTTCAGGAGGACTGCTGTTTCTTAACAAGTAATGCTTAGGGCTCAAGCCAAGGTCTTCAGACTAAAAGTTCCATATTGTTTTCATTGTGCTACATTTATCATCATTCCCCCACTAAACTGCATGCTATCAGAATGAGAAGTACAAGGAATGACCCTTTGGATGTTACACAGATTACAAAAGCAGTTCATTGCTCCTTGAAATTTTATAGCTTCACCTGAAACACGAGAGTAAGTGTGAGTTAAAGGAAAGAGGAGTGTCCAATTTGGGATAATACACAAATCTCTTGCTTTAGTTTTACTTCATTTACTTTTTACTTCTTTGTTAACCAAATCTATTTGCCTTTAAAAATTCATATGTGCTTTTCCAAAGACAAACAATTGATTATTCTCTGGGGAAAGAAATGCCCTGTTAAGATGAGGGCCATGCTGGATCTCTCTTTTAGCAGTTCTGAACTGGAAGCAACTTTGGATAATGAAGTAAAATTATGGCTCCACAATCTTTATCTCTYAGTGAAGGGATCCTCTGTAGGGAACCTGTATTTTTTGGCTCATGGAAATCTTTCTAGCCAATTTATTTGGATGCCCTTCCATGGAGGTACACGGCATGGAAATAGAGCGGTGAAGCAGAGGTGTAAAACATTAACTACTCAAGAACATCATCTCTGGAGATTTTAAAAAGCAAATCACAAACTCATTACATTTTGTCCACAAATGTGTGCAGACTTATTTATTGTATTTCCATGTTGCCTCAATAAAATTRTATTAAAAAATAAAGAAGTGTTACATATTGAAACCAAAATTGAAGTTCTTAGTCTTTTCCTTAGCATGGTTAATTATGAGAACTTTGGGGGAATGTGGTCCTCCAYAGGTACACTATAGTGCTTTGATTATGAGTCTTTCATTTACCTGATGTTTGATGCCCATAATGCTGGTCCGTGAGAGCACATGAGGTTTTGCACTGATCAAGTATAGCTTGAGATAGATTGTGAGGGTGAAGGCATTGCATACAATTCCTGTGAGAGGAACTTAARACATTAGTTCTTTTAAAAAGAGATAGACTATAATATTTTCTAGGAAAAATAAAATAACAACTTAACAACAAACAGATACTGCAAATTTAGATTAGTTCCATTTGAAATAACTCTATCATTATGTTGAAGTATTGCATTTCCAAATAATTTAAATAAGTGACTATGCATAACAGAATTACAGATTTGAGAGAGAAATCATTTTAAAAATCTGAATTATGAAAACTGGAAGGTACACTGATGTTTAGATTGGTGGTCTGTGAGCAGGTCTCAGACTGTCATTGGAAAATTAATTACTAACACAAAACAATTATGTCACTTTCATTTAGCATGTCACCTTTTGTTTATTTATCACTTWTTTCTAGAGTAAGTCATAGCCACCATCATTCTTTATCATGAAAATATTAAAAGTAAAGCACAATGATAACTTAGTCAACATTTATTCTACAACCATCAGGCACCAAATACAAAGGTGTGCTTTTATTCTGCTTTTCACATTTAATTTAATTTAATAATTCTTCCACAGAATTTTAACATTATTGTTTTTATTCATCATCATCCTTACTTTCAAACTCAGAAAATTGAGACATAGAGGATTTTTAACAACTTGTCTTACACAATTAATTAGTCATCAGCTTTGTAGCAGACAGCCTCTATTTTCTAAAACTTATTAAAAAAAAAAACTAAGGTAGTGAGTGTCTGGATTTATTGTGATGCTCTACAGCTAGTTATTGGGCTGAGATTGGAATTCAAGTCCCCTAATTTCTAAAATGTCTGCATTCACTTCTTTTTTAGCATGAAGGTAACAATTTGTCTGGCAACTCTGAGATTAAGAAAGGCAGAACCAACAAAAACAGCAGCTGCAGGGCTGCTTTACGACTGTGGAAGTCAGAGAGCTCATACCAGTTTTCACTGCAGGCTGTGTGACAAGTGGGACAATGCTCACAGAAGCGGCCAATGCTCCGGGGATCTGTGCACTCACACCTGCCGCACACACACGTGCCTCTGCCGCTGCACACCTGGCCTTTTGAATTGACACAGTGCTGAGATGATGCTGAGGGGCACTGGCACCGATCCCCTTCCCAGCCGCTGAAGCACTGGCATCTGCCTGCTTCACACTCTCCATGCCCTGCAACCAAGACACACCAGGACCCACATTAGAGACGCCACTGACTTGTGAAGAGTTTCCAAGTGTGGATTCACTTCCCACCTCCACAGAAATGAACAGGCAGTCAAGTGAACGGAAACAGCATCATTTTCTATTCGTCTGACCTAAAGAGTGCCAGAATTTAGGAAAGATGTCCTATTGTAGATAATCTCTCGTACTAATATTCTGTGCTAACAAATGTAAAGGAAGTCCCTCCTGTGGTGGCTGCCCAACTCTCYTAAGTGTCATACGTTCAGTTTTAAATTAAGACACAGAAATATAAAGAAGTTACAAAAGCTAAAGTAATGTTATGTGACATGAGATCAGAAAATAAGAGTATTTGATTAATGACTTCCATAATCTATTCTCATAGTTGCCCTATTGCTAAGGGCTGGGAATGACTTGGAAGGACTAGGAGGCAAACCCTCTTAGTGCTTCAGTGTGGTGAAGGCTATGTTTAAAGATAAGATTTTCTGAGGAGTTGAAATAATTCTCTCATATCCTCAGAATAGTATTTAGTAGATTATCAGTGTTGTTCTCATCTCTGCTGCGAGCTATGAWTAGGTGGCCAATGGCAAGAAGAAAGGAAGATGGTGTGTGTTGGGGGTGGGGAGTGTGCACGTGCACAAGGGGTCTTTATGCACACAAGCTGAGGAAACATTGGTTATACATAATTAAATGAATTTTTGATTGCTGRAAGTGTCCAAAATTTAATCTGCCAATGCTAATTAGAAATCTTCAAGAAGGGGTACATTTTACAGGATTGTGCAGTATTTCTCAAGCTTTTTTAGCTACAAGTCAATTAATCTTCCCTTCCTCCTTCCTTCCCTCCCTTCTGTTCCTTGCCTTCTTTTCCTCATTTCCTTTCTCTCTTTTATTGCTGAGCACCTTACAAGTTAACTGTCCCACAGGGTCCACTGCTGGATCAGCTCAGCTTGTTAAGTGTAAAACTAATGAGGTCCAGGCCAAACAGATGTCCTCCAGACCCTGCTCCTCCGTACAGCCTGCAAGTCGAGTCCTGGCCAGCCAACCTGGGAACATGTGCTTTTATTCCTCGGGGAGACTAGAGGATGCATGTCAGCCCTACAGTTTTCTCTTACATACAACCATTCAAAGCAGATTCTCAAGTGCTTRAGGGTCAGTAGTATCATAGTCACAAGGAAGGGTCAGTACATGATTTTTGGATATTTGCAGCAGAGAATGGGATTCTCAATGTATTTGAAATGTCTTTGAGGAACTGACAGCTGTGGAGAAAGCCTTTCTGTTCCCTGTAAAATAGCATTTCCTTTCCCTATAAAATATAGTAAACAATGGCTGATTTATTCTAAAGTTATCTATTTATTCTAAATTTATCATCTTCTCTATGATTCCAGCTACAGTTGAATAAATGTTTGAAATACAAAACATTCYGTGCATATAATAGAATAAAAAGATAATTTGCCATCACACATTTAGGTAAAATATTTTGAAAAATTAGCTTTTGTAACAATATAAAATTTATTTTTATAGGCTGTTACTTTCCATATCCTTACAGTAATGAAATATTTTCATTCATCAACAACTTAACAAATATTTATCTACTACAATGCAAATGCTAAAAAGGCATTTTCACAGTAAGTGAAATTATTCTATGAACTCAGATGGCAGAGAGTTTAATATATTTAACAATAATATTTTAATATTCAAGTGTTGCACAGTTATTGGACTCTAACCTGTAGGTGGCAGTAAGCTGAATTAGACACAAAGTAACCTTGATATTTTTATTTTAATTCATTTCATTTTAAAAATGTGGTCTGTGTGTGGCCACAAAGACTAATCTTCTAGATTGCTTAATAATCTAGTATTTTCTTGAAGAATGCTGTCCTCTGGCAATTCTGTTGCTGGTGGTGGTCCAAAAATAAACTGCTGAGGTTTAAATTACCACAAACTTACAATACCATCTATAATGATGCTTTAAGAATTTTCCAATGAATGAAAAGTATATTTTTATAGCTCACTCCCCCCTCATCCTGACAGAAATAAAATCCTCTGAGCAATCTGGAGTGAGTATTTGCCAGAATGAATCAGACCCTTGTGGAAGAATACCCTCATTCTTTTGGAAAACGTGTCAGCCATCATCAGTAATTTCCCCTTCTGGGATGTTCTTTCCAAGATCAAAGAATATTTGAGAATTACAATTAATTTTAGGTTTTTATTTAGAAGTATATCCTGTATACTTTAAGCATAAATATTAAAACCCCTGCTGTGACTGTTGCGGTGACCTAATTTTGCAGACTATGAAACTGTGAGTATTAAATTCAGATTCAGTGATGGCAATTTGTAACATATTTTTAAAGATACACGAGACTATATGCTACCAGGATAGTSGTTAGTAAAAATTACCTGTATGCATTTATACTCACCAGCACACAGATTTCCATGGTGATATGGACAAGAAAAATCATCCTTTTCACAGTATTTTCCATACACTTTTCCAAGCTTAATTTTGTGACATACACATTTCCCACAAATACAGACTCCTCGACCACTGCAAACAGGTTGATCCTTGTGTAACCTGCAACTCTCAGATGGAAATGCATCTTCATCAAAATGGCATTTACTCTCGTCACATTGCAAACACTTGGAGTCCAGGAAAGTTTCATCCTCACACTTTCCTTTAGGTCCTCTGTGGTCCTCACACTGACAGCTGCAGCGCCTGTGTATGTGAATTTTAGTGGTTTCATTGAAACCAATAGGTTTGATTTTTGCATAGTTTTTTCCTCCTGTGACATCACATTTTTTCATTGTAACTGTTACATTGAAAAGAACCTAAATTTAGGAAGAAAAAGGAAATATAATTACATCCTTTGATATTTTTATTGCCAATATTTTATGTGTCAGTATATTTCAATCAATAATACAATAGCATCTTAGAGTAATTGTTTATAAAATACCCAGGCAAGTTTTTTCACATGAAGATGCAAAATCCCTTTTAGTGTCTTTTATTTTCTGATTAATAAACTAAAGAATTAGAGGAACCAATGATTGCTAATTGCCTATAATACACCAATAAACAGACTTGATCCTGCTTATATGAAGTGCCTACTCCACCTTCCTATTTTCAAGTTGGACTAAAATCATTACAATTTTTAAAATAATCTGTGTTTTTGGTTGGAAATTATGTTATATATCATGATATAAAAAGAACTAAATTTAGGCTTCAACATGTATTAGGAGTTTGACTCAGTCTTATTATAAAGTTAGTGTTGGTGCTGTACTCAAAATGTTTTTGTCTTAAGAATGTTAAGGATTAACAGATGTGTAGGATAATGTGGTCATTGCCATTATTAATCGTAGAGCAAAACTTGGGGTTTATGTAATTAAGAGGTCAAATGACTATTCCTTAGAGTCACGTTGTTTATACAACTTGGTTGAAAGTCAAGGGGGAAAAGAAATGTAGGAAAAAAAGAAAGAAAGAAAAAACCCTAAGATGTAAGAAAACCACTGCTCCAAAATTGAGATTTTTGAAAGAATTGCTTCATTCTTCAGTAAGTAACTTAGTGTTATYTTATGATAGAAAAAATTTCTTTATATTTAATGAAAATCAAATGTGTATTTTGTAAACTGCTGTATGATGGCTTTTGAACAAAATCCAAGAACTGATTATAGAGGAAACTACAGAATTAGAAACTTGCAGTAATTAATTTAAAATGTACAGCTTGTAGGCACAATYATACTACCCACAGATTCTAAAATTCTCAAGAGGGAAAATATTTTCTAACTACAGAAAAGTCTCCTTTTATTGAGAATGTTCTACCTCTTTCCATCACTTTTTCTCTCTAGGACCTGACATGTAAGCTGTAAGCGATTAATAAAATTATAGAGGAGGATAGGGATGTGGCTCACGGGTAAAACACTTGCCTGGCCTAAGTGAGGCCCTGAGTTCAATCCCCAGCATCACAAAAAATTACTACTACTACTACCAATAATAACAATAAATAAAACAAATACAATTATAGAACCTTGGAGTTAGCAGGGAGATGAGAAGTTCTTCTAGTCTAAGCCATCTGTTTAAAAATGAGATAAGTCATGCCTCAAGAGGAAAACAACTCACTGGAGATATCTTTACCCCACAAGGATCCCTGTGTGTGCCTCTCTGCTGTGCCTCTCTGCTGTGCCAATTCTTGGAGAATCCCTGCTCCTCTGGTCCTGTTTCCTGATGCTACTGTGATTTATACCTCTTTTCTTTACATCTCATTTCAACCCCTCCTTTTTTATTGTTCTCAGTCAATTTCCCTACCTGATTATGAATGGACTGAGGCAAACACAAAGTGAAAGATTTTGAAATTCTTAGACTTTATCAATTGTGTCATTCTTCCCTATAGCTTATTACTTTCAATATCACATTTACCCTTGAGAATAAGCAGATTTGAATCCAAAAGGAGATGTGATTTCCTCTTCTATACCAATTGGGTCACCTACGTTGGAAGTTACTGTTATTAAACAAGTGTTCAACATAATACATATTTATTTATTTTAACTTGAGGGTTCAAGAGAATAGTTAATTGAGTTAAAACAAGAAGGTAACTTTGAGAAGAGACAATGAAAGTTACTTTGAAGTATAAATAAAATTCCTGGAGTCAGCAGTTAAGTAAAATTATTCAGAATGGTTTGGTTTTTCTGTGAGGAAAGCGTGCCAAACAAATTTAGCTTATTTTAAATAAGAAAAATGCACACCCACATACTTCATCATTGCTTGTCACATTTCCACATCCAATGGTGCCTGGCTTTCTGGCCCCATCTGGACAAATGGCTGTGATGTTGAAATAGACACCTTGTACCTGGTTTTCCACCTGCACTTTCACTTCTGAAATGAGTTTCTGTGGAGACATCATCTTTTAATTAAATGCTGTAATGGTTTCAAATATAAGCAATGAAGCAGAGTCAAGCTTATCCAATTACTCTAGGTTTAATTTTTTACTAAGTCAAAGAGTCTGTCTCTGTAAAAGGATGAATAAATACAGTGTTTCCACATAATGACCCATTACATTTGAAATATGTAAGAAATACTGAAAGATTAGATTTTCTGCATTTAAATGGTTCTGTTTTCCCCATTGTGCATTTTGATTACTTCAAAACTATTTCTCACTCAACCTGTTATGAAAATTATCTTTCAAAATCCAGTGCTACTTACATATTATRATACAGTTTAAGTAAAACATTGAGACCATATATCACAAAGGGTGAATTTCCATAGCTAAAAACATGAAACATGCTTCTGAAAGATAACAGCTATTAAAAAAACATTTTAATTTCAAACACTTTATACTATCATGAAAGCTAAAATGCCTTATTGATACAGAGTTGAAAGGTACAGTTTTGGAAGGAATGACCTGACAGACATGTTCCTTTAAGAATGGCTTATAAATTGTGTTAAGACCGAGGGCTTGCTTTTGTTAGTCAAATTTGTACCAAGCCTTCATTCCAAACTGGGGCTTCTAAACTAGACAGAAAAAAAATTCATTGATTCACTCATTTATATGCTCATTCAGTATAAGATTTAGTGGCTATCATGTATTAGATATATAGTAATTTCTTCTATCTCAATCTCTTAAGTTCCAAAGGATCTAGCTACTTTAATTATGTCTTTCAGATCTGTGTGCATTTTATCCCATAAAATGAAGAGTCAACTAAATGCAAAAACTCATAGCTTATACTTGTAAACAGAGGAAGAAAAGTGGCAGTGTAGGAAGAAAAAAAATACTTTCAGAGGATTCTAATCCTTTACGTGAATAATTTTTCTTTTCCAAYGGTATAATCAATAAAGGTACATGGGCTTACTGATTAATAATTGAGCATGGAATTCCAGTAGCATATCTTTAGAACAAAATATTTTCCTCAAATTCATGAGTATTATTTGGATTAAAAAAGACCATCTCAGCACCATTTTGAGGCAGGGTCTTACTATGTTGCACAGACTGGCCTCCCACTTGCAATCCTCCTGAGCAGCTAGAATTACAGGCCTGTACCACCATGTTAGAGAAGTCATACACTGCAACTGTTAATTGAATAATTTTGGCAAACCAAAAGGAACTTTCAAGGATATGCAAAGATGGATATGCAATAATATGTCAGATCAGAAGGAAATACTTAATTCAAGGAGTGTGCTCAGTTTACCCTTCAGAAATTCTGTTTTAAGACTTTAAGCTAGTTAGGCCCATGTTTTTCAAGCAATGTGTAAAGATAGATCTCTAAAATATTTCCCAGTTTTAGAATGTAGGAATTAATCTCCTGACACAATCTGAAGCTTCTCCTTTAAGATCTAATCAGTAATGAGACAGATTATTTTTTCTGTTTTAAGATTCTTCAATGAATTGGGAATTGTTTCTSTTGGACGGTGAAGACAAGATAAAATTTCAGAAGAATTTTGAAAATATAGACACATAAAAAATGACAGAATCTCAACCTAAGGTAGTTAGCCAGAGTTGAGTTTGTTTTGCTTTTTAATTGATGTCACTGTAAGATCAGTCAGAACCACAGTGGGATCAGACATCCCATATCTGTTCTAGACAAATAAAGAAATTAAAGCAGATACTTTGGTCTCCTTTCCTTGGATACTGTATGACACATAGGTGAAAAGTTGTCAGTTTATGCTCCTTGCTTGGGGTAATAAATGGTCTCATACTATAACAATTCAGTCCTAACAGTATAAATTCCTTTCTTATTTGGATTCTTCTCAGAAACACACTCTTGATGGGAAAAAATTATATGCACATTTGATTTTTCTTGATAAAAATCCCTAGTCATAACACTCTTTTGTAAGTGAGAGATGTCATTTAAGATGTTCTTCCTTATTTCATTCTACACAGTTTCAGACACAAAATAAAAGTTCTCGGCAAAAATAATCTAGCAAGGTTTATTTTCATTTTAAAGAATAACTTTCAATAATTCTTCATTGTCTATCCAGTGTCTACTTTCTGCCTTTCCCTTTTGTACTCATGTTGAAGGCAGGTGCTTCTTGAAGATGATTAGAGAAATCTGAGATTTTTCTCCACGTTTTGGCTGTTCTTTACACTATTCAACTCTTACATGTTTGGGAAGGACATCAGAGAATTTGGGAAAATGAGACTTTATAACTGGCCCATAAATTCAAGGTCTAATCGAGCAAGCTTGATACTACATAAAAACGACAAAAGAAAAATAGGTGATATCACAAAGCAGGAAACACCTGGGGCATGACGTTGAACACCTGGATTCTGATCCTGATTCTTCTGATTAGCTGTGTGACCTTTGGTTAATTTGCTTCACTTCTCTGTTTCTACAAATATACAATGAGAGTAGTAACACCTGCCTAGGTGAGGATTAAAYGAAGTCATGTGTGAAAAGTGTCTGGTTCTTAGTGGTATTACAACATTACAGCACATATGACATGAAGCCATGACCCAGTTTGAGAGAACAGATGTTTCTTTAAATTCTTTGCATTCAGTTGCCCACYCTTCACAGGATTGATGAGAGCATACGACCATAAATAACAGACCATACTTGTCAAGGTGATTCTTTTACACAAACTGTTTTGATGAATGTGCTCAAATAATTGACTGAACAATCAAATAATTGATCATAGAGAACAAAATCATCTTAGTAATCTCTATGTCCCAGATAATTCATTTCCCCTGCAGGTTGTTTCTTTAAATAACAGTGTGGATTTCATAATTCATGAAAAAGGGAAATTATGCAATTTCTTGGTAACAAAATGCCTTTTGTAGCCATGAGTAGGTAACTCATTGAGCATTAGATTTGGAAGGAAACTGAGAAAGTCTCAGGCCCAGTGTTGGATGGCTATCAAGGAGACCACATAGTCTCCCAAGGGACCATGGTAGTTTGTGCTAAGACCAGGCCTAAATGCCAGATTCCCTGTTCCTAATTTTATGTTCTTTCTACCACTCCTCTCAAGATGATACCGCACTAGTTAGTATGTTGTCACAGAAATGTTTATTTGGAAAGTTAAAGTTTATTTGGCAAAAATCGTATATGATATATGCATACCTTGTAGGCTTCTACTACCAAATTGTTGAGGTTAGCAGCCTTTGATTCTATCTCACCAGCAATGGTGCCAGGCAAAAGGGGTAGAAGGTCCTAGAAAACACATCAGTTGAATTTACATAATGGCAAACGCTGCAGTGGTTCAGTAATCAACAAATATTTAATATTTTTCCATTAACAATGGAAGATGAGACATTATATGCAGGAAAAATATAAAACATGAAAAATATAAGCAACCTGGTAGGATTGCAAGCCCTTATACCCATGAAAAGGTAGTGTGTATGTGTGTGTGTGTGTGTGTGTGTGTGTGTACAAATGCAAATAAATACGCATGAGCATGGGTGTGTGCATCCTGAATTACATGATGACCTAAAAATAACATCAGAATTATATCAGAATTTCCAAAGCATCTTCCATGGAACACAGCCCTAAGAGACTTAGAACATGAAAAAATGTTCTAAGGGCCAATAAGTTTGGGAAGTTCTGCATATCTTTATTCTATCCAGAGATCCAAATTGCACATTTTCAAACTAAAACGTTGAGCAGTCCTGTAATTTGTAAATAATTCGACTCAGTTTAATGCAGCATTCCCCAATGCTTCTTTAAATGCCAAACTCTTTTCTTACATAATATATATATTTTATAAAACTGCTGATCCATGAAATGACCTTTGGGGCATGTTGTATCAGACAGTAGGAAAAATCAGAGTTATAGGTGGAGCTTCAAAGAAGAGGAGTTTGTGATGGGTAATGCTTACTAATTTTGGAGGAGATGCTATTACCAGGGAGAATGTGAGAATGAGCAAAGGCTTACAGGGCTACAAGAGGAAGAAAAGCAGTTGGACTAGAATAAAGGTGCATATTTATAAGAATTCAGATTATGAAAATCTTGAAATCCACTTATTCACTCATTTTTTTCAGTTCACAAGCATCATTAACTTTCTTCCATATACTATCCATATTTAAACACCAACAATTTGTTATCTCAAGTCATAGGGAAAAATGTATCACAGATTTTTAAAATTCATTTATCAAAGTGTGAAATATGATATATCAAGAACTATGTAATGTTTTGAACAACCAACAATAAAAAAAGAAAAAATAATAAAATTCATTTATTAACAGATGCCTTTATTGAGCATCTATTACATACTACTTTGGAAATGCTAACTTACTAGACCACATAGTTTCTGTCCTTAAGGATCTCACAGGTCTATAAATGATAATTCCACAAAATATAAGCCACATGAGGCATTTGTGCACAGAAGCTATTAAGCAGGATGCCTGGCAAGGACTGCAGAGCTGGGGAAAGTTATCAGGGGCTGTTTCCTTAAGGAGCTGACTTATAAGCTCTTCGTAGAGGATGCTGAGTGGGAGTGAACGCAGTCATGAGAGAGAATGACTTCCACATATGGGGGTGCAGTGGGGGCAGCAAGAACAAAAGCACAAAGAAAGAAGCAGGTTGGTGAGTGTGTGTGTGTGTGTGTGTGTGTGTGTGTGTGCAGGGGAAGATCAGGCACATTGCCGGAGGGACAAGGGCAAGTTAGGGAAAAGAGGCCCCAGAGAGAGGTAGATAGAACCAGGTGCCAAATTAGAAACTCAGTCCTCTAAATCATAGGGAGCCCCTAGGATATTTTGCTCCAGAAAGTACTGTGGACATACTTGTGATTTCAACGCATYATCTTGCACCATGTGGAGAATGGATTTGGGGGATGAGTTTCAATGCTGTTAGGGTGATAGAAAAATGAAAAAAATGAAAGATGGGTGATAGAAAAAGATCCATGAGCAGCTAAAGTAGGTGCCTACAAGGGTGCGTGTGGGACTCAGCAGGGCTCATGTCCGGCTTTTGGAGCCTGATGATGTTTACTTTACTCACAATTCAGTTAATAGTAAACCTGGTTTATGGTTTATCAGTCAGTGGCAAATTTATAAAGGACAAGGGAGAATGTGGGAGAACCAATAACACTCTGAACAATAGAGAAAGAGGAAGCAAAAGCTATCCAAAGCTACATGGTATTCCAAAGTCAACTATTCAGCTTACAAGTTAAGATCACAAGATTTGAGTTGTTAGAGAACTCTGGGCAAGTATGTATCCTCTCAAAATGTTTCCCCATCTTAAAATGAGCAGACTGATAAAACTGCCCTCACTCAGTGAGATGGTAAGATCTCAGATGCATTAGTGTTTCTGAACTCAGTACYTGGCAATAGTTAAGTACTCAGTCAGTAGACACTGTTCCTCTTGTTATTAAAATGGTTAAAGCCATTTTATTTGGGTCAGAGCCCTACTTCTGTGGATGTTAATTTGTTATCACCTTAAAACTTGGCTTCATGGTATATGGAAATCAGGGAGGGACTAAAGTTTCACTACATATTTCTAAAGGAATAAGTGATATGATTAAAGTGGCACTTTCAGATGACAAATGTGGCTGTTAGGTGTTAGGTAAATCAGAGAATGTAACACCAGTTTGTGGACGATGAAAATGATTTTAAGTATCCGTTGAAACCAAAAGATAATGTAGTTTCTCTAAAGTTTTAAAAAGTAAGTAAGGGTRCTTGCAGCTAGCCAGTGAGAGAAGTATGCAGTTGGAAAGTAGAAGGAAGAAATAAAGATAGTAAAGAGATGAAGATCTGGTGGATAGCGATGCATGTTGGAAACAAGGACACCACAGCATTATAGAAATGAAGAAAAGAGATTCTAGAAGACAGACCCTAAAAAAAMCAAAAGACAATTATAGTAAGGCACAGAAGAGGAATTCTATGTTGAGCAACTGCCCCGAAGGATTCAGGACACCACCGAAAACCACACCTGCATAGGGAATTTGGCTGGCTCAGTCACTTCTCAGGCTCTTCCTGGTCCTTTAGTAGAAAATATACACCAAAGCTAGATGTGCTGGTGCTATGGAAAATCAAGCAGATAATTCTTTAACTTTAGCCTATGGTAAGAATATGTCCATGGCTAGATTATAAGCAGGAATCTGGACATGAAAGATATAGATATGAAGTGTGAAGTACTTTCACCTGATAAGAATCTTTCTTGTTATTGTCACATCCATCATGTCCTTCAGTGTTAGGCTATGCCTATGTATATTAGATATAATTCTCAAACAGCATTTAGTGCATGACTTGTTTCTATGTGTTACAAACCTAGGTCGAATTTGTACTTAAATGCTAATTTAAGATACAATAAAATGTAYTTTAGTTAATACATTATTAAATTCAGATTATATAATTTCAAATTCTTATCTCTGGTTCCAAGAAGTGCCCTAATTTCGACTACTAATGTAAACATTCTAATTCGTATGTTTAGGAATTGACATACCTTATACCAATGAAATTGTTTTCCTTGAACTGCAAAAATGACATTAATGTTGTTGTCTATTAGTTTTTCCGAAAGTTGGCCTAGCGAGGGATGTTCCTGCAATGGATAATGAAATAAAGAAAGGAATGAAAATTTGTAGCTCAGCCCCACAYACATCCAAACAGCTACTATGAAGAAAGCCTTGTGACTTATGCAACAACATACACCAGGGAAAGGTTATAGTTTCACTAGAGATATTTAAATTCTTTTCATATATAACATCAATTTGTGCTCTATATGTGTTATATGAATTGTGATGCATTCTGTTGTCATATATCACAAATTAAAATAAAAAAAGAATAAGCTAACATGCTAAAAAATATTAATGTGTTAGGGACAATTTATAGGAAAAAGCTCCCTAAAAACCTCATTCAGTGTAGTACAAAAAATGACCAGGACCTCTTCTGATTAACACTGGACTCAAAGTGATATAATTGAAACATAATTTAAAATTCAGAAATAGAGACACATTAGTGACAACCATATTCTGAGGCAAAATTCAGCAGCATGTGTTGAAATGCAAAATGCTGTGTACATGTATATGTCTGTAAACACATGTGTTCAGGTGTACACACACACACACACACACACACACACACACACATTTGATTTGTAACCTGATTCAAATAAATTCTCTTTAGAAGCCTAAAATTCTGTGCTCAAATCACAGGTTTGTCACTTTATGACAAAAGGTCTCACTTCCGTCCTCTGTATCATGTGACTGTTATCTGCCTTCTATGACTACTGGCAAGATTAAAGAGATAACAATAATATGTGAACTATTTGGTGTAGCTTCTTGCATCTAGTAGGTACTCAAAACTAATAGCCATTGTGACTTTTCATTTCTAACTTCTCATACAAAGTGTAGATTAAAGATCTTTCAATTTATTATCATACTTAATTTTTCTTGTCAGATGATATATATCATAAACCTGTTTTACTTTGGTGAATAAAACATAATGCAGAGCTGTTTGTGGCATTCCTTGTGGTGATGAGAAAGCTAGGGTTGAGGAGGAGGAGGGGAATAAAATTTATTTTAGAAAATATGAGAAATTGACAACCATAGAAATTGCCATGCAATGTTATACAGTTAGACTTAGTAGCTTTTATTTTTCTTTTTATAAATTCTCTTCTAGGAATTAAAGTGATAATCTCAACTAACAAGTTCATACTAGACATCTCTCAGAGAGATGGTGTCAAACTCCACTTGCAGTAGCCTTGCCTATTTGTTGGTGCTGATTGCATGAACCAAGGGTTTTGTGACTAAACCTAACCAGTATTATATAATTCAAGTTCAAATCACTCCAAGGTTTTGCTCCAGATTGCACTATCYAATATTAACTGTTTGCTTTAAGAGAAAATTTCACTAAATCAACTTGGTGAATATCTCTGTATTTTTGTAACGACACAAACTTTGTACAAAAGCTAAATTAACTACTTTTGCTTATAACCCAAGTTCTGTGACCCACATATTAAATTTATGTATATAGACCTAAGAAGTAGTGTCCAAAAAAATCCTATCAAGGCTTGGGGTAGCTCAATGGTACATCATGTACATAGCATGCATGAGCCCTGGGTTCAAATCCAGGAGAAATCATAACAAATATACTTTCATTTCTATATTGTCTACAGTGGTAGAGGCAACCCAAATTTTCATGAGTTGCATTTAAATGTGATAMGAAACCAATTTATAACGAGCTTAGAAAGCATACCACATGGTTTTCATAAGAAAAATTCTACCCAGAGCAATTCTTAAAAATGTAATTTTAAAGCAATAGAAAAAAATTCATCACATATAAATTCTTCCAGCTAAATTCTCATTCCTTTTCCTAACAAAATGTATAATCTTAAAATAKATTTATGATACTTTGCATAATGCTTAGTAAATTAAAGAGAACAAGTAAATGCAAGGTAAGTGTTGATGTATTGGGATTTTTGTCTTGATGGTAAAAAACTACTTTTCAAATATTTTTGCTTTCAGAAAAATAATTGCAACTTGTCAAGTACTTATTCCTCTTAATTTATAAAACTATGCATATTTTGAGAAAAATTTAACCCATATAATTTTAATCAGTTTATATTTAACGCTCATAAAATCAACATTTAAAGAACAGTCATGAGTGTATGCAGCTTTTGGAGCCTTCTTAATCTCCTTCCTTCCATMAACAGGAAGTCACATTGACCAAAAGTACACAAAATTGAAATCAAGAAAATTCAAGTTTGGTCAGAAACTCATTAAAAAGTCGGGTTTTTAAAGTTTGAAAGAACATGTTTTTTGAACCCTGAAGCTAAATCAGTTTGAAAAGAAAATTCCAAGTACCTTGAGGCAGATTTTTTTTTATTACAAATGTATAACAGATGCTTAAATAAACCACTGCTGACAAGAGACCTCTGAATGAATAGACCTTTCCAAAGTCCCTTCCCCTTTCCTCAATGAAGCATATCCTTTAAGTATCTTATCTCCTATGTCTTTTACTTTGCTGGCAGGAGAACACACTCCCTCTAGCCAGCTGTGCTGTTCGATGATGTCACTGCTCCTCAAGTCTCACTCCCCCTCTGTCTAACCTGGTTCACATTGTTTCTCCAAACTCTGAGAATAATTAATAGAGATAACAGGCATTTCAGGGGCAAAAGGGAGAAGGAAAAGCAATATGCCAAAACAGCTACCAGATAGTGAAGGCAGTGGGAAGTAACTCATAAATGTCAGAAGGCAAGAGGGGCATGAAAGGTTCATTAGGAGCAAGTTCAGTTAAAGAGCTAACTGTGGAGATGTGGTAGAATTTTCAAAAATGTGTATACTTGGGGTATGAAAAGAAAATGTCTAAGAAACCCTTCACCTTCAACAAAATTAATAATTAAAAGTTTATAAAATAATTTCAAATTTGTTGAATTGGATATTGAAATATTTTAACAACTTAGTTAAATAAAAATATTTAATTATCTGGTTTATTTTTTGGAGTTCACTTTTTAAAGAAGAGAGACAAATAATATGCAAGCAATCTGATAGCAGAGATTTATTTGGAGATAAAAAGTTTGAAGCATACATTTTCAGCGCACATCCATTGCCTTAGCCTGTGTCCTCTTTGAGTGGCAGCATAGTGCTAACTGCACAGACCAGGGTTTCTCAATAGCAGTGCTATTGACATTTTGGGCTGGATATTTTCTAGTTTGGGGGATTGTCCTCTGCAGTATAGGATGTCTAGCAGCAACCCTAGAATCTACCCATTAGAACGTAGCACCTCCATTACCTGATTGCAACCACCAAAATGTGTCTGGATATGGAAAAGGTCCTATGAAGGGTAAAACCTGCAACAGGTGGGGACTTTTGATAGATCATTGAGGTGTGTTCACAAGAGGATTGTGGGATCCTGGCCCCTTCCACTTTCTCTCTTTTGATCCCTGACCACAAGGTGAGAGGTTATGTTTCACCACTTGCTGACACCATTATGTGCCACCACTGGTCCAAAGCAATGTGAACAACTTATCATGGACTAGAACCCCCAAAACTAGGAGCTAAAATAATCCTTTGTCTTTATAATTTGATTATTTCAGTATTTGTTATAGTGACAGAAAGGTGACTAATATACTATGTGACTGGGCATCTTCACTTTTCTGGGATCCAGTTTCCATGTGCATAAACTGATAGAAATAGCAGTAGCTGCCTCTCACACTGATAGTGGGGATAAGTGGGTGAATGCATAAAGGCTTTCACCTGTATTTCCATAATTACCAAGCCCAAACTAAAGTTGAGTGGGGGGTTCTATCCTTTTGTCACTTTGCTTGGCATCCACAGCTATGAGGGGAGTGACTACAGGTGAGGGACTGATTCCTTAGTACCTCCATTTTCTCATTTATAAGACACAAGTAAAGCAGTAGCTCCAACTCACTGGGGTGCTGAGTGCTGTTACATGAAAGTTAAGGGACAGGCATCACACACTGATCAATAAAAGACATGTCTTAACAAAAGACTCTAAATAAGAGACATTTCTACATATGCTAGATATGGTCCTTGGATTTGCCTTAATGGACCCATCTCACTTATTAACTCTTCATAACTGATCCCTCAGGTGTTTGAATTTGTGGTACTTGCCCCAAATGGTACCAAGTGTAGCCATATACTCTACTTAATGAAGTAAGTAGACATCACAGTAGGAAATAGTTGGTTTAATGCTGTCTATTGTTTGCATTAGTTGTTATTATTATTTGTCTCCCCCTAAACAGTGAGGTACTGGAAACCTTCAGGGACACTATAAGTCCCCAATGTAGAAATTCTACTTCATCAGATCCATACTGTTAGATGACTGGACCCACAAATAACAGGAAAAGCAAAGGAATAAATTTTCCCAAACAAATCAAGACACTCCAATAACAGAATCCATTGGACAACACAGTGGAAGAAATGTCACAGAGGGAGTTTAGAATGTACACAGTTAAATTAATCTGAGAAGTAAAGGATGGTATAAAAAATAAAATCAGAGAAAAAATCCAGGAAGTGAAAGATTACTTCAATAAAGAGGCAGAGTTTCTGGGGGGAGGGGGGAAAGCATAAATCCTTGAAATGAAAAAAAACAATAAATCAAATTAAAATTTCAACGGAAAGCATCATCAACAGACTAGACCACTTGGAAGACAGAATCTCAAGCAATGAGGACAAAATACATAATCTTAAGAACAGAGTTAATCACATAGAGAACATGTTAAGAAACCATGAACAGAAGTTGCAAGAACTATGGGATAACATGAAAAGACCAAATTTAAGATTTATAGGGGTAAATGAAGGCACAGAGATATTAACCAAAGGAATGCACAATCTTTTCAATGAAATAATATCAGAAAATTTCCCAAACCTAAAGAATAAAATGGAAAATCAAATACAACAGACTTACAAGACCCCATATGTGCAAAATTACAATAGATCCATACCAAGGCACATTATAATGAAAATGCCTAACATATAGAATAAGGATAGATTTTAAAGGCTTCTAGAGAAAAATATAGACTATGTATAGCGGGAAAACAATTTATGTCTCAGCTAATTTCTCAACCCAGACTCTCAA